TCAGTTGCCATCAGTGGATAAAGTGCTTGCGAATGAATGAAAACACAAACTATTCCATGACTCTCTGTTGCGGAAATAAACCTGTGTCCCATCTGTCTTGCAAAGCGCACGGACGAAGATAATTACCTTTATTTAAGAATCACTACTACAAGTTGGAAAGCAGTCGAATCTTGCCAGTTTTAAGCGGACATATGTTATATCATGGATCACATTCAGTCATTTGCTATTGTGGGGGTCTTGAGAGCATTCAGTGTACAGCTACCTGCACGTCACAACCTTTGACATGGTCATAAAAGCCACAGGTGTTTCGTGATGCTTAATGAATTTTGGGAAGACGTAACAACAGTTTAAGGTTTGCTTTAAAGAAGTGGTGCGAAACTAATAGCAATGCTAGAGAATTAAGTTGTATTCAACAACGATTCGATAATTCAGTAATATGGATGAAAATTGCGTCATCCTATTAACGCATAATAGAGATTTGTGCCAAGATTAGAAATGTTGAAACCACTCTTTAAAAAAATCCGACAACTTACCCTCACGAATATTCCGCACAGTGACAGGGTTAGTGCCACACACAGTCAACCCATAGCCCGCATGATCTCTTCGCACGATGGTTCTAAAGTAAACCGGCGAAGTGGGGATCATAGTTTCTGTGGCTGCATCCAGTTTATCAATTACTGTAGTCATCGTCTCGCCTTCTTCTTCTCTTTCCTGCTCCTGTTGTTGAATGTTTTGGTGATGGTAGCAGTGCTGATGTGCCAGCTGGAGTGTGGGTGTCTGCGCTGGGGACAGAGGAAGCTCCTCGCGGCTCGGTGAAGGTGAAACGGAAGATCTTGCGGTCTCGTAGATTGACGTTGACGTGCTACGTAAATCTTCGTCTTCCTGCATTGTCAATTCATGTTCGTCGGAAAGAACCGAGTGGTAATCAGGAGGCGGACTGTTTGGTGGAAAGTCGGAGGTGGTAAGCATTTGTGCAGTTAACTGCTGCTCTTGTGATGGAGTGATGATAGTCTTCGAGAGGAGGGGATTGGGGAACTCTATTATGGGTACTCGGTGTTGAACGGGATTCCGCCTCTGTTTTTCCTCGTTTGCTACATCGAGGGATCTCGCTTTCTCAACCGGTCGCAAAGGTGGAATATTTTGCCTGAATGAAAAGCAATTTATCACTGCACTTAAGATCCCAATTTAAACCTTGTTATTTCCAACAAAAATATTGTAATGAATGTGCAACTTTGTTCAGCTGATGCAAAGGAATCGAACAAAGGTTTTGCATTTTTGTGGCATCGTTTACGAGATGGTTGTTTTTAATGTTCAGTTAATGGACAGGAAGTCATAGAGAGGACCCTTTTTCGAAATACTAACTGTAATGTATACTAGTTTGTTTAAGTGGACTTTTATGGGAGAAAGGCGGGAACCAGTTGGGAACGCG